CATTTATTCCCTTGATTTGTTAGACCAAGTAAAATTTTCAGTTCCAAAATCGTGAATGAATTTAAAATTTTGGCCCAAACCAATTTTTTTAAATTTAAAATTGATAAAGTTGGAACATGAGGCGCTTGAATGGGTGCTAAGGAGCGTCACAGCTGCTCTAGCTTTGAATAAAGTGCGTGTCAGTTTGCTTGCTCGGGAGGAAAAAGCCTTGGTCACCTGCGTGTACATAAGAAATTCGCCGTTGACCAGCCGAGAGAGCAGTTTGCTTGACACTCGCGAGAGATCTGTGCGCCTGAGAGAGTATACCATACACATATTTACGTTACCGTTAATAAGTCAAGGCCCCTATGCTAAGCAAGCCAAGTTGCTATATGGAGAGGTAATTGACGCGACCAGCATCACTCGCCAACAGAGATAATCGCACTCAACTTGCTTTCGTATTTAACGAAACAAAACAAGCATAAAACTCGTCAAAATTATTTCCACTTCATTAATTACTTTGCTTCTCATTTATTGTTTTCAATTTCCAAGCGTGTTTCAATGTTGTGAGTGTGTTACTGTTGCTACTTAATTTATGGGTTCTTATCTTTCCGGCTGAGTTACAAAGTCCTTGAATTTACTTCTCAAAGGATAAGCGCGCGGTGTCTGCAGGTTGCTTCTGCTGAGAAAATTTACACGCCGGCTTAAAAATTTAATGGCCTCAGTTTTTTGATGTGCAAATTTAAGTTTCTGAGTAAATCAGTAAGGGACGATGAGGGCACTTGAGGACTTGAGGAAACGTTTGTAAAATGATCCAACAAACCGTGTTCACTTAAATTATTTTATTTTCAATTTTATTTAATGGGCCGTCTGCTTTGAATAGAATACTATCTTTTCAATTACGATGCAAAGCCCATTTCTTACTAAAAAATATAATGATAATGGAAAAGCTTTATATAATTGACAATTAAATTTTTAAAGACAAACAAAAATTATGCAAAAATAATTAAATGCTTTAATTTTATAAATATCTTTTATTTAAATTAATTTTATTAATATTTATATCTTTTATTAAAAAATTCAAAATTCAATAAACATCAATGGTTTTAGCTAAATTTTAAGTATTTTGGGAAATACATGCTGGTTTCTGACTTGCTGATGCTTTCAAGACCACCTATAATATGAAAGGGATTCATTAGATCAAAGCGAGACCCTCAATTCTTCAAGAGTTAATAGGATGCGCTTAACAATCGCTTTTAATTTCAGGTAGAATACTAAATCACTTCCCTCCCCACGCAGCATCCCTTCTTTTTCATGCTTCCTAAAGCTCCAGTCGCGCCATGAAATTTGATTTACTACGCTCCAAAGACTTTGATTCTATCCCAAGGAGAGAGGGATGAAGATTTAGGAATTAAAGGAATTCAGTACGTTGCAGGAACGGACATATTGAACTTTTCACTCCCTGACGCTTTCCGAAATAGACCATCAAGAGACAGCGCACCTGAATTTGATTGATTAAAAAAGAGAAACTGCGTGACAATAATGAAAAGTCAGCAGATGTTACAGAAAATACAAAATACTGTGACTGGCAGAGAGAAAAATATATAAATTCATAACTTCATTATTTAATAAAAAAAAAATATTTATAAAATTTTGGCAAAATTCTATGAATTTTAATAATAAAAATTATTATCAATTATATTACATACTTTATTTTAAAATTAATTTATATAACTTGAAATAAAATAAACACAATATTATCATTTATTGTTTCATTACAAAACAAAATTGTTTTTCAGTTGAAATTTAATTGAAATACATAAATAAAAAACGGTTCATTTACCTTTTCGTGGACTATTCAAATCAGTCTTTCATAAATAATTGTTATCGGATTTGAATTTTTAATTAGAATTTCCGACCTCATTAGCTAGAGGCTACTATATAAATACAGTGAAAATAAAATTTTACGAGTTCACTGCAATCAGGCAGCAATATTTATTACTTGGAGCGATTCCAGAGCGGGTTATTGCTGAGCAGGCAGTTACGCAAACCCGAATTTATTATTAACACACACACTTTTAAAAATTCCAGCAAGTGGCGTGGCGATTGTGTGTGGAGTAATAGGAATCGACTGCGCGGCCAAAAGTCAAAATGGAATGCAATTGTGCCAAATTAGCGCGGCGAGAAAGCCAAAAAGAGAATATTCACTCGATTTGCATTCCACTCGGCACACCGGCGAGTGTATAAAATAGTATATAGGAAAGGTATTGGTCGTCGCGGCTGCAAAAACAGGAAATGCTCACGCGGAATAAAATGTGTCTAATTGTGTGTGCCTGGCATCGAAGCTAACTTGTTGCACCGGCCCGCGAGAAATGCAGTTGTTTTGGCTCGCTGCTGTCAAGATTAGTTTCTTTTCATCACAAAAAACGCACGACAAAGGGAAACCTGACCTACATCATTCTGCCCAACATCCCTGAGCGTGACTTACTTTTGAGACATGAAACTAATTTAATTGCGAGCGGCAAACAATGAGTTTAATCAAAAAGAGTCAACCGATTTGTCAAAATGAATAAATTTAAAGTGATGATTGTTATTGTTTGGAGGTATGAATGAAAATATTATCAATTTTATAAATCTGAGATTGATCTGTTACACAAAAAGGAAGTCGCCAAGGACTTTTATTCAGCTGTGGATTTCGCAATAATAAACTTGCTGGGTTGAACTCTCTCTCTATGCTTTGAATGAACCGTCGGGTTAACCACAGAGAAGCATTCATCCCGAGGATGAAAAGCTTTTAAAGCTTTGAATCTCATTCCGCGTCATTCCGGCCGTGCAAAAACGACACTGTCCTTGCTTTTTCCTTCGCCGATTTAAAAGTAAAAACTGGCTTGTTGCGGCCACTCCAAGAATTGCAAGAAGTAAAACGTCCGCCGAATTGCGTCACCAGTAAATTTGGAGGCGTAAAACTCAACTAACCAAGAAACAGCAAAACAACGTTTTATTAAAAAATTGTGAGACAACAACCATTTTCATTACAAATAATTAACTGTGAATAAGAAATTTGTTTCCTCTTGAAAGAGTTTCTTTTAAGAGTTTCAAGCAAATTTTTTTTTTAAATTTTATTTGAAATTCAGGAATAAAAATTTTAAAAGAAGAATAAAATAGCCTTAGAAAATTTCAGATTAAATGATATAATGTAAAATTTTCTGTTAATTTTCGTTCACTATAAAAATAAAGTTTTTGCTTTTTAATTTTAATTATATTATTTTTTAATTTCAGTATTTACTAAGTTATTTAATGCCAGATAATTTTAAGTTTTATTTATAAAAGGTTTGATCTATAGTTGTATGGAGAAAATTAATGAAAACTCTTTTCAGCCCTTTGTTCTGTGAGAGGGGATTTTTATATGGAATTCCACAATAAATGCATGTTCCGCAAAAACAACAGATATTTTGAAAAGCTGAGGGCGAAATTCGCGAGGCCCCGTTTCGTTTTATGGCCTCTCCACTCACGCGAGGGCACTCTGAAAATATGTATTTTGCCAATGGCCACGTGAGTTGTGCGCCCGCGAGATGACGACAGCAGAGATCTGCCTTTCCTCCTCGCACCACCATGCAACAAGTATTACGGCACTCTGCAGGCGGGCAAGTGAAAGGTGTCGTTGCTCGATAGATCAGAGATGTAAGCTGCGTATGGCATATATGTAATATAATAATATAGTTCACCAACTTTCGATTATGTACTGTAAGGAGCGCCAGACGAAATGAATTCATTATTCGGCTCAGCGCCCACTACAGAAATGAATAATCTCGCATCGAATTGGCGCGTGTTTTTATTTTATTGCTGTTCTCAAAAGCATTATTTCTTCTCGATTCGACTCTAAAACGGAGAGAATGATAATATTCGTGGGAAAGAATGAATCAGGGGCCCCTTACTTAGATTCGATATCCGTGTCAGCCAAGCTTTTAACTTTTGTGCGCCGCATCTTCGTCTATTTTACTTTTTTATCAACGCTGGCGTAATCCCGCCAGGTTGGGATCATTTTTGTGAGGGATAACTGGGAAAGCTCTTCTCTCTCGCGCATTGTGTCGATTACAAAAAGAAGCGCAAGTGCACGCTCGAATGCGTCTCTCTCGCCGCCACTTTTTGTGGGTCGGCCGCCGTCTTTGCCCTTTTTTACATTTAATAATAAATGCACGGCTCATGTATCAAGATGTCACTGCTCAAGCCATTAATCAAAATTCCCGATAAGGTATTTAAAAAAGTATCAGGTGTGCCGTGGGTGTTGAAAATAAGTGGATATATTGGCCGAAAAAGGTTTAATCGTTTTGTATAAAATAAATTGATGAACACAATGTCAATGTCAACTATTAAAGACGTCCATCTATGTTTGAAATAAAAAGGCGACCAAAAACTCGCAGCTTTTGTGTGCCGACAGAAAAGTTATTACGCAGCCCTTTGAGAACCATTAACCGCGAAACGCAGACTCACAGAGACTGACACTGCATTCTCAGGGCAAACACAAAAAATCAAGATTCACTCGCGGATGTGCTAATGGAAAAGCGGACAAAGGCATTGGTTTACAAAACACAACAGGTCTTTAATAGGAATTTCTAAACCTCCGTCAGGCTTGGCTCGATTGGAAAAATTCTGCTGCCAATCAAAACAAGTCAGTTGGAAAATTCGCGCATTGGAATCACCGCAATGAAATTAAAACGCATTATGAAAGATGTAAGGCTAGAATTTTGCGACGAGTAGAAAGTTTAGTCATTATTTTATTGTTTTTAATTTAATTAAAAAAAAAACATATTTTTTGAATATTCATGATTCTTTGATCAAAATGAATTATATTAAGAAAAATACATCCAGCATTTTGAATTGGCTAAATATTTTTAATATAAATATTTGTAAATAAATACTAATGAAAATGTAATTTCTTTTAATTATTTTGGTTTGCAGCAATAATATCTAAGCAATTGAGTGAAATAACTTGTCATAAAAATAAATGTTAAAAGACTCACCGATTGGAAGTTTTATCGTCGTCCAACAGTGGCCCTCATGGGTCTGGACTCGTAGCCGTTGCCATTCATTATGGGGTGACTTCCGTTCATCATAGGGTGGCTGCCGTTCATGCCGTTCATCATGGGGTGTCCGTTTCCGTTGACGTGCGGCGGAGGCGGCGGCTCCTCGCCGGACATGTCCAAATCCTGCATCATCTGAATGATCTCGCGCTCCTTCTTCGAGTCCTCCTTCCCAGGCGAGTCGCCGCCGCCGTTCTCGAACTTGAGGCTGGCCAGCGAACCGTAGGAGCGCGACCGGTGCTCCTGCCGAATTGAGTACGAAAAGGCCCTTTCGTTCATGTGGCCCTTTTTGCGGTAGATGCCCGTGTTGAAGGGCGACTCGTCCTCCTGCTCCTGGCGCGACATCTTCTTCGACTTGGACCGTTTCTTGACGTTAGCCGGCGTGTTCCGCATCAGGGTGGCTGTCTCCATGGGCACGTAGGGGTTGCCCATGGGCGGCATCATCTGCGCCAGGTACGTCTCGTGCGGGAAGTGTCCCGGCTGGTAGGACGCCACGGGACTCAGCGGCCGCGCCGCGCTCGGCATGTAAATCGGCTCCTCCTGGTAGTGCTTCACAGGTCGCCGGGTGGTCATCAGGGCTGAGGGCGGCGGCGGAGGGATGAACGGCGGCGGCACCGGTCGCAACTGCTTGGGTCTGTGCGAAAAGGTGCCGACCAGACGAGGAGCGACGTGTCTACCGGCCTGAGGGTGCATCACCAGCATCGGGGGCGGTCCGTAGCCGTTCATGGGCGGCGGATGACCATTGATGGGCCTCATCAGGGTGCCGCTGACCGAGTGGGCGCCGCGCACGGGCCGCATCAGGGTGTGCGCCCCTCCGTTGATCAACTCAGGGTCGCGCTGGAGCTGCTTTTTCTTGCTCTTGCCCTTTTTCGAAGAGGTCTCCTCCACCTGCGGTGGCGGCGGCGGGGGTGGTGTCTTGCCCGGTTGCATCATCTGCCGGGGGCGGGAGGACCGCGTTGATCTGAGCGTGCTGGCGTTGAAGTCTCCCTGCTCAGCGCCGGCCCACACCTTGTGGTTTTCGTCGCCGTTGTAGATGGAGATGTCGTCGATGCCGGGGGTGTTCTCCTCGTTCCTGACCAGGGTGTTGGTGCCGTTGGTGCTGGCGCCGTTCGTTCGCCACCCCTCCACCTTCTCGATGCTGGAGGCCGCCTCGCCGAGGACGGAGCCCGCCTTGGCCGGCGGCGGCTGCAGGGTGCCGTAGCGACTGCCGGCGTCGATTTGCTTGGCGTACGAAGCGTCGGCGTACGCGTGGAAACAACACTTTACGAGCGCGTTGGCCGCCATCTCCCGTTTGCAGATGAACGCGTGACACTCGAGCACCTTGATACCGGTGGTGCGGCGCAGGATGGCCGCGAACAGAGGCGGGTGTTGGGCGTTGGGGTAGCGTGCGAACGGCGAGTCCAGGGGCAAGAAGCGGGGCGGCGCCGCCATGTTCGGGCTGCTGTTGGGCACCATCACGTACCTGACGGCGGCGCAGTAGTGCAGCGAGTCGATGGGAAAGAAGCGCGTCACCTTCTTGTGGTTCTCGTCCACGTTCTCCAGCAGCAGGCCGTTGCTCCACACGCTTAGCCACGAATCAATGCCGCGCGCCCCCGAAGCGCCCTGCTCAGGGTACAGTTCGCGCAGCGGCTCCTGGATGCCCTGCAGACCGTCCTTGGTGATGTGCGGCACCGACGAGCCCAGGTACAACACCCGGCACCGACAGATCGGCGTCGCGTCCGAACCGGCACGCGGGGAGGCCATGATTCTCTCTAGCTTTGGAGGTCCTCGGAAGGTGCTTTCTTTTGGTCAAAGTTGGGCGCTCCGGGCGCGGATCACAAAGTCATGGTCACCCACACGGTCACTTCTTCAGGTTGTTGCTGAGCGCGCGGCGGAGAAAAGCAGCGGTTCCCCTCTGCTTGCGAGTCTCTCGTCGTCTGAAGGAGACTGTCGGCCCAACAGGCAACCTTCGAGCAGGTGGGCGTGAGCGCAGGCGCGCTCCCAGATTGACTTGCCTACCTGCCCGCATACCTGGTGCTACGTTGCCTACCTGTCGGCCGCCTCAAGAAGTTGCCGCTTCGAGTAGTAGAACTTGCGTAACTTCCTGAAGAATTTTCTGCAGGCCTTTTGGTCCTGCAATTTTTTGTCCATTGATTCAATTAAAATTAAATTTTTTCAAAAGTTAATCTTTAAATAAATGTATTCAACAATTCAATCCAAATAAAAGTAGTTTTGATACAAATGGTTAAATTATATATATTATTTAAAAGTTAATAAAACTCAAATAAGAGGAAAGCATTCTATTACTCTTTCATTCTGCTTCAATCTTGGATTTAACCATTTTTTTTTTTTTTTTTTTTTTAATTAATTTTATTATGAAGCAAAAAAGAAAATAGGGAATATTTTCATTATCTATCCTTTAAATAATCTCTTCAAAAATAAGATAATATTGTGATATTTTTTAGTTTTCCAATTTCCTGAAATATTCAACTTGGCATAAAAGATTTTTAGAAGTGGCTACAAAATTAGAATCTTGTTTTTTACTCTCTTAAATACATTATAGTCAAGCCTTTTATTTTAAGGACAATAATATTTACGATGCTTACAAAACTATTGCACCCTTGTAGAGCTTGATAACATGCAGATTCTGGAGTTTAAGCCTTGAACTAGCCGTAAAACTCAAAATCGTCTCTCTGAAAGCAATCAATGAGATCTTTATGTAATAATTAACTTAAATAATTTTTGATGAATTGCTTGAGGAGCATAATAGCTCCAATTATAATTGAACTTTGATGAAAAAAAAAACAGCATTTAACTGATGGGGGTAAGCTTAATTATAGTTATTTCAAGTGATAAAATAGATGAAATATGAGTTTTACCATTTCGTTATATTCCAAAATATGCTTCCTAATTGCCGAAGTATCAACCCATGTAACAAAGTCCTCCAGATTTCTAAAAAATATTCATTGCGTTAGTAAGTATTGAGTATACATACAAAAAGTATATTATGCTAAGGATGTACACCACTTCTTTAAAACAAACTGGATTATTACCTGGTTACAAGAAAGGCCGGGTCTTTGATGACCTCCGTGCCGACTCGGACGTGTCCCTGCTCAACCAGTTTGCTGGCCAACTTGAGATTTTCGGCCATTTTCGTCCTGACCATCACAACCGGAAGGCGTCTTCGGCAGAAGGACGAGGCAGTGACCTTGTCGCACAGCTCCAGGTCCTGTCTGCTGGGAATCAAACCCAGCATGTTCAACTTTTCCAGCACCTGGCTGCTGCTCTCGATCCTGAACGGGTCGTTTTGGTCCAGCTCCTTGATCTTCCGCACCAACTCTCGTACTTCCCTGGACAGTTTTTTGTACCTAAATCGTGGAAAAATAAAAACATTGCAGTTTAAAAAGAGAAAAAGGCTAATTTGAGCGCATACGTCGCGTATTCGTCCCTCTTCTGAATGTGGTACCGCTTCATAATTTTGATCTCGTGCACATTGTTCGTCTCCTCCCAACTGATGAAATCCACCTTCTTCAGCAGCTTTTGCTCATGGTGCTTGAGTTTCCGAACCATTTTCACCGAGTAATTTAAATTTTTATGTGAAAAATTTAGATGCTAAAAATAATCAACGAGAACACGTGAAATGTGCAGTGTGCAATGTTGTTGTTGAACTGATTAATTCCGTAGATCGCCGCTAGAGCTCGCATTGGTCTTGTATTTTGTTTTCTTTTGGTTCACAGTTTTGGTTCTTGGTTTTGGTTCCTTTCGTGCAGCACGCCCTCTCCAGTTCTCCACGAAGATTATCACTCCATTCACTCCTTGGATTATCAGAAAAAAATGTAAACAAAACACGAAACGTTGCCGTTGCACGAAACGTGTGTGAGCCGGAGAAAACAAACATTGTCAAACTATGGTAATCATCATATATATAAATTATTCTTACTTTACTTAATGTAAAATTTGCATGTACATATTTATATTATTTTATATGTCTCTTTCCCTTTTGGACGGATGGAAAGGAAAAGTCATCAAGTATGGAATGTTATGTGGATGGGAACCTCGATTGGCACTGCACAAATCCTTGGCAAAAGGTATTTTATTTATTAATCTAGTAAGGGAAAAGCAGTGTCCTCGTAATTTTTTCATTGTAATTTTGTGGCTCTTTGAGACAGGTGTTTAGATAGTTAATTCTCAAATAAATATTTATGTAAATATGCGCACACACATTCAACTATAAAATTAAATATTTAATTTCACAGGAAATTAGGTATGGTTAGAAATTAAAGTTCTTTATTTTTTTTTTAAAAAAGTATGCAAAAAATATATTTAGAAAAAAAGGAAAAAATGCCAGGTGCCGCTGGACTTTGTGAAATGCCCCCATTTGGTGCAGGAGCAACTCTAGGAAACGGCACAAAACCTAGAGTAGGCAAGTTCGGCGCCCTTTGACACCTCCCGAACACGAGTGGTTAGTGCGCCACTCTGCCGGTATGGATATCTAAAACTACTAAATTAATTTATTTTCACAATCTTCTATCAAAACATAAAATTAAATAATACTATAATAATGAAAAATATAAGTATGAAAATAGTTCTTTGATGACCTTCTAACAGTGCCTCTTGCCGAAACTCTTACAGAGACTGTCCAGCTCCTCAATGCTTTCTTCTCTTCGGCGTTTTCGTCCTTCCTTTTCCAGTTTTTCTTTTTCCTTCTTGATGTCGTAAAATGCGTGCCTAAGTATATTTTCCTTGGTTGAGATGTGCATCTCTCGCAGAGCTAAGAGGGCGAATTTGTCGCCAAGATCTTTTTGCGCCATAGCCGTCTGTGAAAGATTAAAAAATTATGATATAGCAAAAAATATTTAATATTTTAAGAGATTTAGTTGAGGCACTCTTCAGTGCAAATTGATTTCCAAAACAAGAAGTTTACAAAAAATAATTTACTTTAAATTTGCTACTTGGGTTTACACACCTGCTGTTGCAGATCTAACCACCTCCTCTCCAACTCAGCCAAGGCCTCTTTTTTCAATTTATTGACTTGTCCATAAGCAAACTCGGCATAGGTGGTCCTGGCGACTTTGTCGTGGTACATGTTGGCCTTTTCTTCTATCACAGTGCAATAAAGCTCTTCGAGACCTGTGGTAGAACAATTGAAGGTTGGAATGTTAATTAAGCAATTTCATATTTTAATTATTTTCCCTACTAGTGTCCAGGTCGACCATGCATCCTTTGCTCAGTGCATATGCTAACAGAAAAAGCCGAGGGATCCCCCTGAATTGGCACCTGGCCATCATTTTGCCAAAGGTAGAGTTGTAAAAGTCGATCATTTTGGAAAGGTGTTTAGCGTCCTCGTTAATGTCCTTCAATACAACCACTTCACATTCACAATCCTGGATGTGGTTTATCAGCTGCTCTCGTACTTGTTGGCTTGCTGCAAAATAATGTTTCTTTAAGATTTATCAATTTTTCTTATTTTATTATTTTATCCAATGCGTACTTTTCTTATTTTTAAATGTAATTTAATTTCAAATTAAAAAAATACACACGATTTTTCCAGCCTCGTGTGCAGCCACTCGCTGCTGATGTCAGGCAAACCACGTCTAAGGGCAATGAATTTCTTATTGCCTCGATGTCTTTTTCGGTCAAAATCTGCATGCTCCCTCCAGTAACGATGGAAAGTACAAAGAGCTTGGCCCTGAAAAATAATATATTCATGATTTCACTCCAAGAAAAGTAATCTGAAACCACAAGATTTTTTTGAAGCGAGAAGATTATGCAGAATTAGAAATTATTAATCTTTGATCTTAATCGAGTGAAAAAAGAAATGAAGTTTTTAATTTTAATTTTTGACAAAATTTGAAAATTCTGGTAGTAATTATGCCAGTCTTAAGAGTGTAATGAATTATGCTGATAACACATTAAGTGCGATTTATAATAATTATTACTTGGTTGTTTCTGCTTCCATTTTTTCATCTTCAATTTCCTGTGGGAGCGTACTAGCAGGCGAAAGAGCTGTTGGCTGGCCATTAGCTTGCGAGGTGCTGACGGTCTTCACAGCGCTGGGAGAGGTGACTGACGGCGGAGCATTGGAGGTGCTGATGGTCTTCGCCGCGCTGGAAGAGTTGTCTGACGGCGGAGCTTTCGAGGTGCTAACGGTCTTCACAGCGCTGGGAGAGGTGACTGACGGCGGAGCATTGGAGGTGCTGATGGTCTTCGCCGCGCTGGAAGAGTTGTCTGACGGCGGAGCTTTCGAGGTGCTAACGGTCTTCACAGCGCTGGGAGAGGTGACTGACGGCGGAGCATTGGAGGTGCTGATGGTCTTCGCCGCGCTGGAAGAGTTGTCTGACGGCGGAGCTTTCGAGGTGCTAACGGTCTTCACAGCGCTGGGAGAGGTGACTGACGGCGGAGCATTGGAGGTGCTGACGGTCTTCGCCGCGCTGGAAGAGTTGTCTGACGGCGGAGCTTTCGAGGTGCTGACGGTCTTCACAGCGCTGGGAGAGGTGACTGACGGCGGAGCATTGGAGGTGCTGACGGTCTTCGCCGCGCTGGAAGAGTTGTCTGACGGCGGAGCTTTCGAGGTGCTGACGGTCTTCACAGCGCTGGAAGATTTGTCTGACGGCGGAGCTTTCGAGGTGCTGACGGTCTTCGCCGCGCTGGAAGAGGTGTTTGACTCGTTGCTCTCGAGGTGACCGAGAAGTTTACCCAGCGACTGAATTGCTGGTATGACCGATGCTAAATGTTTCTGGAAGTCACTCGTTGATGCCCTGTTTTCGAACAACTGATTAAACATTTTGTCCACAATCTTCTTCAAGGTTTCTGCTTGGCAGAGAAATTCTTCACGTTTATCCATATTTGCGCTACTGGAATTGCTGAGAATTCAAAGTTTTCAACAATGCTGCTATATTTATAGAACTATTTCATCTTTTCATTGTTGTGGTGTTTTATACATTGTTATAAAAAGATTTCTGTTGATATTCCTCCAAATTTTTGTTTTTCATAAGAATCGCAGCAATTTTCTCTTCAAATTTTCTTAAGAGTTGGCGCTGCAGGCCAGCAAATAAAAATCCTTAAAGCTATTTTTAAACATTGATAAATGTTAGACCTAATTATTGGATTTAGAAAAAAAAATCAGCTCAACACAGTGAATTTAAGCAGCTATGGTACCACAGGCCATGAAACAAAAATCCTGAATAGTGAATCCAATTTAATGCTATCTTTAGTCCTTATATTTGAAAAATTTCCAAAAAAAGTCAGCTTAGCTGAAATCGTTGATATTTTTCCAAATTTTTGTCTTCCGTGCATATCTAAGTATAATTCTCTTCAAATTTAAAACTGAGTTAAAACTGCACGCCTGCAAATATAATCTTTCAAGCCGTGTTTAAATATAGAAGAACAGTAGACCTTTTTAAAACGGATATGGAACGCAGGCCATGAAACAAAAATCCTGAATTGTGATTCCAATTTAATGCTATCTTTAGTCCTTATATTTGAAAAATTTCCAAAAAAAGTCAGCTTAGCTGAAATCGTTGATATTTTTCCAAATTTTTAGCTTCCATGCGTATCTTAGTATTATTCTCTTCAAATTTAAAACAGAGTTAGCACTGCAGGCCTGCAAATAAAAATCTTTCAAGCTGTGTTTAAATATAGAAGAACAGTAGACCTTGATGTTGGAAGTAGCAAAAAAGTCAGCTTAACACAGTGAGTTAAATTTTTATCATAATTTTATTGAGCATTTGTTTTACTGTGTAGGTATCTTTAAATTTTAAACGGAGACGGCACTTTAGATCATTAAATGAATATTTTGAATACTGAATCAATTTAATTGCTGACGTAGACCTTATACAAATTGGAAAAGTTTCCTAAAAAGACAGCTTAAACACGGCGGGTGTTGATATTTATCCAATTTTTTGTTTTTCATTAGAATCGCAGCATTTTTCTCTTCAACTTTTAAACGGAGTTGGCACTGCAGGCCAGCAAATAAAAAACCTTAAACCTTTTTTTAAACATTGATAAATGTTAGACCTAATTGTTGGATTGAGAAAAAAAGTCAGCTTAACACAGAGAGCTTATGTTTAATCATAATTTAATCTTCTATTCGAATATTTGTGTAACTATCTTCATTTTTTAAACGGATATGGAACGCAAACCATGAAACAAAAATCCTGAATTGTGAATCCAATTTAATGCTTACATAGTCCTGATATTTGAAATTTTTTAAAAAAAGTCAGCTTAGCCGAAGGCGTTGATATTTTTCGAAATTTTTAGCTTCCATGCGTATCTTAGTATTATTCTCTTCAAATTTAAAACAGAGTTAGCACTGCAGGCCTGCAAATAAAAATCTTTCAAGCTGTGTTTAAATATAGAAGAACAGTAGACCTTGATGTTGGAAGTAGCAAAAAAGTCAGCTTAACACAGTGAGTTAACTTTTTATCATGATTTTCTTTAGCATTCGTTTTTCTGTGTCGGTATTTTTAAATTTTAAACGGAGACGGCACTATAGATCATTAAATGAATATTTTGAATACTGAATCAATTTAATTGCTGACGTAGACCTTATATTTGAAAAGTTTCCAAGAAAGTCAGCTTAATCACAGTTGTTGATGTTTATTCAAATTTTTGTATTTCATTAGAATCGCAGCTTTTTGCTCTTCAACTTTTAAACGGAGTTGGCACTGCAGGCCAGCAAATAACTTCCTTAAAGCTATATTTAAATATTGATGAATGTTAGACCTAATTGTTGGATTGAGAAAAAAAAGTCAGCTTAACACAGAGAGCTTATGTTTAATAATAATTTAATCTTCTTTTCGAATATTTGTGTAACTATCTTCATTTTTTAAACGGATATGGAACGCAAACCATGAAACAAAAATCCTGAATTGTGAATCCAATTTAATGCTTACATAGTCCTGATATTTGAAAATTTTTAAAAAAAGTCAGCTTAGCCGCAGGCGTTGATATTTTTCGAAATTTTTAGCTTCCATGCGTATCTTAGTATTATTCTCTTCAAATTTAAAACAGAGTTAGCACTGCAGGCCTGCAAATAAAAATCTTTCAAGCTGTGTTTAAATAATAGAAGAACAGTAGACCTTGATGTTGGAAGTAGCAAAAAAGTCAGCTTAACACAGTGAGTTAACTTTTTATCATGATTTTCTTTAGCATTCGTTTTTCTGTGTCGGTATCTTTAAATTTTAAACAGAGACGGCACTTAAAATTGTTAAATAAATATTTTGAACACTGAATCAATTTAAATGCTGACGTAGACCTTATATTTGAAAAGGTTCCAAGAAAGTCAGCTTAATCACAGTTGTTGATGTTTATCCAAATTTTTGTATTTCATTAGATTCGCAGCTTTTTGCTCTTCAACTTTTAAACGGAGTTGGCACTGCAGGCCAGCAAATAAATTCCTTAAAGCTATATTTAAATATTGATGAATGTTAGACCTAATTGTTGGATTGAGAAAAAAAGTCAGCTTAACACAGAGAGCTTATGTTTAATCATAATTTAATCTTCTATTCGAATATTTGTGTAACTATCTTCACTTTTTAAACGGATATGGAACGCAGGCCATGAAACAAAAATCCTGATTTGTGATTCCAATTTAATGCTAACATAGTCCTGATATTTGAAAATTTTAAAAAAAAGTCAGCTTAGCCGAAGGCGTTGATATATTTCGAAATTTTTAGCTTCCATGCGTATCTTAGTATTATTCTCTTCAAATTTAAAACAGAGTTAGCACTGCATTCCTGCAAATAAAAATCTTTCAAGCTGTGTTTAAATATAGAAGAACAGTAGACCTTGATGTTGGAAGTAGCAAAAAAGTCAGCTTAACACAGTGAGTTAACTTTTTATCATGATTTTCTTTAGCATTCGTTTTTCTGTGTCGGTATCTTTAAATTTTAAACGGAGACGGCACTTTAGATCATTGAATGAATATTTTGAATACTGAATCAATTTAATTGCTGACGTAGACCTTATATTTGAAAAGTTTCCAAGAAAGTCAGCTTAATCACAGGTGTCGATGTTTATCCAAATTTATTGTTTTTCATTTGAATCGCAGCTTTTTTCTCTTCAACTTTTAAACGGAGTTGGCACTGCAGGCCAGCAAATAAAAATCCTTAAAGCTATATTAAAATATTGATGAATGTTAGACCTAATTGTTGGATTGAGAAAAAAAGTCAGCTTAACATAGAGAGCTTATGTTTAATCATAATTTAATCTTCTATTTGAATATTTGTGTAACTATCTTCATTTTTTAAACAGATATGGAACGCAGGCCATGAAAAAAAAATCCTGAATTGTGAATC